GGAACCCGCGGCCCGGCGGGCAGGCTCCCGCAGCCCCGGGCCCCCAAGCTGTCCCGGCGGGGGGCGCTGCAGCGCGGGCCCCTCCCGCGAGGCGCCTGGGAGCCGGTGGCTTCGCTTTGGTTCGCGCCCTGGGACGGAAGGCTCCGTCCGCTCCTGGGGCCGCCGGGGCGCTCTCACCGCCTCCCTCCCGCGCTCTTCTCCCCCGTCCGTTTGCAGGGAGGTGCTCTCCTCGGGCGGCGGGGAAGGCGGGTGAGTGGGGAGAAAACTGCCGGCGGAGACGGGCCGTGGGGGTGGAGATGGAGGGTGAAAGGCCAGGGAGGTGCAGGGTGCCGGTGGTGGAGGGATGACAGGGACCTGCTGGCAAGTCGTGCCCGCCCCCAGGTCCCTCGCAGGGAGGAAGCGCGGCTCCCTGAGGACGTGGAGAAGGGTACTGAGAAGGGCTGGGGCCCTCGATCCAATGAAGAGGGCTTCTCTCAGGGCCCTTGCTCCCAGGGTCTGGGCTGGGAGGGGGCTTTGGGGCGGCCGGGGACCCTTTGGGCTCCCCCAGCTCCCAGGCCAGGTTACATAAGGAGGCAAGCCGGGTCCTTTAGGTAACTGGCCCCTCCTCTCCTGCCCAGCCCAGTTTAGAAGGCTCTTTTCTGCCCCTCCCTTCAAAGGAGGCTGAGGGATTGGGCCTTAGGGCCTGGACCCCGGACCCTGGGGTGGCAGACCCAGGCTTTGCAGGGTCACTGGGAGAAGCTGGGAAAACGGGAAGGCGTTGGCTCTTCTGCAGGAGTGGACGGGCCATCTATGCGGCTGGCGATGGAGAGGCTGATTGGAAGGGGAATCAACTGACCCTTTGGGTCAGCTCTAGTTGCAAGGTTATTTGACCCTTGCCCAGGTGCCCACTCCCTGCTGGCATCCAGGGCATCGGGCTATGGTCTGACCACATGTGCTCAGGGCAGAGGAGCTCAGATCTGTCTCTCAAAAGAGGACTTGCAGACTGCCTAGGTGTGTGTACCCAGGTTTAAATCTTGGTGGACTCTGCCAGGGTCGTAGTTTGAGGAGCGTCAGAAACTGAAGCTTTGACCCGCCGCTGGGTGCCTACTTGTCGTTTAAAGCCCTGCAATGAACTGTGTTCTCATATCATCTCCCTTCCCCCAACCTCCCTTCCCTGAGGCTTTTTAAAACACCTCCCATTGCTTTCATCTTTCCAGCAAATCTGGCTGCAGCTCTGATGGACGCCTTATCTTCCTTTGCAGGTTTCTAGGGGAGAGTTTAACCAGGGATCAGGTGTGAGCTTGGCTCTGATTTTATACAAACCTGAGGACCAGGGAAGAGAAGCAAGATCTATTCTCATGCCCCTGACTGGTCAAGGTCTTGCCTTGTTTAAAACAGGGAGGACGGATTTCTCAAAGACTCTTCTGTTCTCTCTCTGCTTTGGCTTTGGTTCAGAGCTGGAGGAAGCTCCAGAGTCTTCCTGAAGAGCTGGGTGCTGTGAGATTGGAAGGACTGCTGGAAGGCATGGGTGTGGAGGTTTCTGACTTTTCTTCTAGGTTGGTTGCAGCCACCTCCAAGGAGATGTCTTCATCAGTGGTAACAGAGTCCTCTAGGGAAGGATTTGGACAAGGATCTCCCCGCTCACTGCCTAGCTTTTGCAGCCACCAACGTCTGTTGTCTCCCCCACCTGTTTGCAGGATGTATGGACATCTTTCCCAACCTGCAGAACCCGTGGCAGGATGAGAAGTCTAGGCTTTCCAGGTCTTGTTTGTTGTGGGGCTGCTGGCGTTGCAGTGGGCTGGCTCTAGCACCAGTGTCTGTGTTTCCAGCTCCCCTCTGGAAGAGAGGGGCCAGGGCAGACACTAGGTTCGCCTGCTCTGTATTCATTCAGCCCCAGCTCAACTTGAGCAATCAGAGCCAGGGCTGAGGGCAAGCTACATTCTTTTCTGCTGCAGGATGCAGTTTGCTTTTTTTCCATGCGAATGAATTATGTTTGAAACTGAAGTGGGAGGAAGAGAAAAATAGAGTGAGTGTGTACGGGTATGTGTGTGCGCATACCTCTATAGGCAGGGGGAGAGCAGCAGGCACATTATTTTTCCATTTTCCTTTAATTAAGGCTCTGTGGAGGTGTGTTTGAAAACAGAGGGTCTCCTATGCCTTTGAGGAGGGTGAGAACACTGTTTTGGCTGCGTCCCGGGCCATATGCAGCGTATGGTGGCCAATGAAACTGGGCCTGGCTCATTCTGTTGCTTGTCTTGGCAGTCGGTTCCGTGGCTTGTGTTACCAGCTCTGGAACTTACGGGCTGCCAAGCTCCGTGTGCCTGTATGTGTGTGTGTGTGTGTGTGCTCTTGTGTGTGTGTGTGGTTTGGCCTCTCGCAGCTCCACAGAGACAAATGCCTCAGCGACCCAGGGTTGGAATTTTCAGCCTGTGTTTCTTTATACTCATTGCTGGCTGTGGGAGGCCCGGCCAGAGCCCACCATTCTGGGGTTTTTTTAGTCTGTTTTCTTGGCCCCTGGGATTCCAGTGTGGCGCTCCATTTCCAAAGCTTAGCTGGCCGGTGGCAATTTTTAAAATGGGCCAAAGGATTTATCACACGCTGTGTGTATGTCTGTGTTATGTATCATACTGTGAACTCTTGACACCAAGGAACAGAGGCGGGGTGAGGTGGGAAGAGAGGATGGAAGGCTTGTCCGGTGATGGTACCTTCCCAGCTTCTTCTCGCTGCTCAGGATACAGGTTCCTGGCAGAAATAACTTAATGTGTATTAATTGAGCACCTACATCAGGCAAGGGAGACAGACAGGGCCTTGTCAAACACATTTCTCTGGTCTGCAGGGATGAAGCTTTTGTGGGGAGAGGTTCCAGTTTCTTCTATGGCCGGGATGGCTATGCAGGGATCTTGCATGCCCGTGTACCATGCCAGTGGCTTCTCCTGACCCCATCATCCCTCATTTTCTTCTTATGAAGATCTGAGAAGTGACTCCTTCTAAGCAGTGCAGAAATAGAGTGGATTGAAGGACGCAGAAGATGCTGGCCCTCTGCTTCTGGAGGCAGAGGTGGAAACCCAGTTAGTGGTGCCTTGTTGCCAGTGACTTATGCAGCTGTGTTCTGGCCTGCAGGATGGAGGAGACCTCAGGAGAAACTGAGGCAAAGGGCAGGTGCTGGACCTCATTTCTGTACCTTTGTCCCCAGCCTTGATCTGGCACCCTTTGCTTCTGTTCTTCAGTGGATGCTGAATGGTCCTGTCCCCTTGGGGTTCAGAGCTGGAAAGTGGGAGAACAGAGGATCCTCTGGGGGAAATTGTCTTCTTGGTTGTGGAAAAGGAAGAGCAGTGTTAGGTGGGAACCGTACCGAAGGGACCTCGAGTGGTCATCCAGCACTGGTGTCCCTCCAGGAAGGAAGGCCCTCGTGTCTGCACTGCCTTCACACTCACTAGGTACAGGCGCTGTTCCAGGTACTTTCCAAATATTCGCTAATTTAATCCTCTCTGCAGCCTTATAAGGCAAATACATTATTATTCCCACTTTACAGCTGAGGAGAGTGAGGCACAGAGAGGTTAGGGAACTTGCCCAGATCACACAGCTAATGGCAGAGCTATGAGTCACACTCAGACGACGTGGCTCCAAAACTCCTGCTCCTAACCCACCTCACTCTTGTGCCTGCAGAGCTGGGCCAGCCATCTGGAGAGGGGCTTTTGCTGCTTGCCCTTGTTCTCAGTCTGAGTGTGTTCTTCATCTTTTTGCTCCTTGCCTTCTGGAGCTCCTTGTCTTTTGGAAGCTGGTTAACCTACATCATCTCAGATTCCAGGAGAAAGATGATCCCAGATGATTGCTTAGCTCTAAGGACAGATTTGATGTTTAATTCTCCAAGATTCAGGATAGTTAGTACTATGCTCTGTGATCACTGACCTGGCACCTTTCTGCATCCTGCCCCCTGCACCCCCCACCCCCATGCCCTCCACGTTTCCTCTTGGGAATCTTCCCAGGCTCTGGCTTCCAAGACCTCCCACCCCCTCTTGCTGATTCTCAGTTGCCAGCTACCTGCTTTTGACTTCAACCCCACTAGTGCCCCTGGGGCCTGACCCTGCGAACTCCCTTGCTCCTTGACCTGCCCTCACTCACCTCCACTTTCTCTTAGCACCGAGCCTTGCAGCCTTAGGCCGGTGCACTCACATGCACACCCATTCCTGGCTCCCCATGCCAGCCAGGCCAGCTGCTGGCCTGGAGGGGAGCTACCTCCTCAAAGAGGCCCAGGGATTTTAGAGTCTCTCTTAAACTTGTGTTTCTATGGGTGGAAAGTTCTTGATGCAGATCCTAACTTTCCCTTGACCTGTCTTTTTTTTTTTAATTTGTCTTTGCCGTTCTAGATGAAGATGCAGAATATTGGGCACTTTCTAATAAGAATAGCTCTTTACAAGTTTGACCCATCAAACCAAGACTATCATTTATTTGTAGATACCATAATTTTTTTAATGGGACCATCTTACAGATTTACATACAGTCAACAAAAGAAGAAAATAAGAGGGAAAAACTCAAGTTACCTTTTCTTCGTTCAGCTGAAATGACTCTTCATGTGAATATCTCCCAATAGGGCCCATTTGCTGGACTTGAAGTGTCTTGTGGCTTTTCTTCTGCTTGTACAAGGCAGCACCCCAGACTGTGTGCCTACAAGTCCCTGAGGAGGTCGGAATAGAGAAACACAGATACCAGATCTTTTCTTTAGCTTCTTTCCCCTTGGATCCATCTGGTCCCTGTTTCTTTCAAGCCCACTTTTAGGGATGTGCATCAAACCACCCAAAATCTTAGGCTCAACCAGAGTTTATGGTCCACTGTGACCTCCCGAATGCTTTCTGTCGTATTCATGCCTTGCTTGCCAGTCTCATCTTGGATCTGTGCATTACCCAGTATTTCTTCATTGGCTAGTTTCCAAGTTGTTCCTGGTCAGTGATCCCAAATTGCCAAAGTCTTTTTGGATTCTAGTCCTGTCTTTTGAGGCACAAGCCCCGTTTGCCATTTTGGTCTTCTGCCAATGTATAGAGCTTGCTCTTTATTTATGCATCCCAGTTACTAATGGAGACATAGAGGGTGTTTATCTTCCTTTTGGACCTCCTGGGCCCTGAAGGGAAAAAACTCTGGGTTCTTCCCCTAAAGTTTTTAGTGCGTAGTTCTCCTTTTCCTACTAAATTGTTTCCATATGGAACAACCAGTCTAGGAGATGATTTCACCTCTTGTCATCTTTCCTATGTCTTCCTTGAAGTGGGTAAATTCCTCCTGGCTATTATTGGTTTTCTGTCACTGCCCCCTCCCCTTTTATAGATCCCTAAATCACATCAAATTGTTTTATTTTTCAAATCACCAAGGTTGCCTTTCGGTGTTGGATCGTCCGTCAGCCGGCTCGTTCCAGTTAATGAGGATCCAATTATGAAAGGCAGCCGCTCCAGCTCCTCCGTCTTCGGCCCCCTACTCCCAGAGCCATTTAGGATGACTTCTTGCTCGTGAATGTCAGCTGTTGTGGTTGTCTCCCAGGAATGGCATGTGTTAAGGACTTTGTGGTTTGTGTCTGAGTAGTTAGGGGCGCCCTTGCGGGGGCAGGAAAGAGAGGGGGATTTTTTTGCTTCTGCAAAGAAAGCCTGGTGCTTGATCCCCTGAGTGAGGCTTGTTATTGGGATGTCATTGGATTCACAGGGGAGCAGGAATGGCAAGAATTTATGGTGCTGCTACTCCCTGGGGGTGGTTACCCCTCTTGGGGGGGGTCCCACAGTAGCACGGAATTCATTATATTTTGGGATCATTTGTTAGTGTCTCATTTATACCATCTGTATGAAAATAAACAGAAGCTGCAAGCAGAGCCTATCATTCCTGGAACAGAGTGGAGTCTGGCTTCCATCTCCTAGAGATGGCTTAGGCAAGGAAACATACAGAAGCCTCTGGAATATTTTTCTTGGGGTCTACTGTGGGAACGATAGATAACGAGCATCTAAACTTCCAGAGACAGATCCTTACCTCGCTTGTCGAATTTTGTTCCGCCATGAATTTATCATTTGTTCGTTCATTCATTCATTCATTTATTAATTCAACAAGAATTTGTTGATTACCCTTTCTGTGCCAGAAATGATGCTGGGCACTGGGGTGGCATGGACCAGCAACCAGTCATGACCGCTGCTTGCCCCCTGAAATCCCTCCTCCACTTGCAGAGTGGCATATTTTGCCATATGGCACATTTTGCCACACAGCAATGGGTCCTCACAGTACAGTGAGGTTCTGGGGCTTCTGGCCAAAGAAGGGATTTTGCTCTGTATTTTTGCTTTGCCTCATACCTGAGGTGTGGCGCCCCCATCCTTTGTGAGGACTTTGTGTCCAGCTGAAGCACCAGGCATAGAGCGTTTCTTAGCCTGCCATCTCCTGTCTGTTTTGACGAGCTCGGTTAAGCATTCTCGCTGGGGTCACTGACTCCTTGTGGCATCAGTTCAGGTGTAGAAGAGGGGACTTTTTAGAGTTTCCTCCTCTTCTGAGAAGGAGATGTGAGTTTCCTTTGTCAGTTTGGCTCAGGTAGCCTGAAGTCACCCTCCTCTGCGTGCTGAGTGTCCGCCTGGTTGGGCCCAGGCATCACTTTGCCACACAGGAATGCGTCCCTGTGCTCGGCCCTCTCTTGTTCTTTCTGGAGACCTGCAGCCCATCCGCCATGCCCCGGAGCAGCCTGCTGGTGTGCACCCTGCAGCCCTCTCTGCACTGCAGGCCCCACTCCGGAGGGTGGAGGGGTGCTCTCATGCTGACCGTGGACTCTGGTCCAGCTCGGGTTTAGGGAGGGTCATGGCACACTGACCAAGCACGTGGGAGAGGTCTCAGGGGCCATTTCTGTGTCTGGGCTCCCACCCAGGCTGCCATGGCGTTATTTGGGGAACTTCCTCATGCTGGATCTCCGTGGGAGGTAGAGCAGAGGGTCCTCTGTGCAAGAGAATGATCCTCCACTCTGGGATAGTGCCTGAAAGTCCACCATTAGAAGGTCATTCCTTCTGCATTGACACCTCTTGGACCCCAAGAGGGGGAACAGAAAGGGCAGGGTGAGAAAGCTTTGGTTCTAAAATCCAGGGACCAGGAGTCCAGTCCTGGCTCTGTCCCTCTCTGGCTGTGTGACCTTGGCCAAGTCTTTTACTCCTCTGGGCTTCAGTTTCCTCATGTGCAAAATGAGGATGTGGTTTAGATGAGTACAGGGCCTCCTCCAGCTCTAAGACTATACCCTGATGTGAATGAGTCTCGGATCCTTTTCTGAGATGGCCCCGGGGGGACACAGCGTGCTAAAGAGGCGGAGAAAGGATGTGGGGTAGGAAGGAGGGGCTGAGGGGCCAGGTATGGGAGGTAGAGCCATTGGAGCACGGATGAAAGAGCCTGGGGCACCAATTGTAAACTCCAGTGGAAAGTAGGGAGCTGTGTGCGTGGCTTCATGGGCAGCTGCAGCCGGTGTGCTAGGGATGAAATGGCAGGTCCACTGTCCGTTCACGAGCACCTTTCCTTAAAGAAAGTGATGTCCAGTGGAAGTCTTTGTGGTTTGAGAGTGCAAATCACTCACATCTTTTCCCCTCAGAGTGCAGAGCCTATTGAGAAAGAGACACAGGGGTGGATAGAGAACCAAATTTCACCTTTGAAAGTGAAATGGAGATGGAGAATGTGGCTTGTGCCTATGGCCAAAATGGGCTCCTCAAATGCCCCTCTCTTGAAATCTAGACCTGAGAGCCTGAATGGGGGAAAGGAGGTTGTGGGTCACTCTCCAGGGCCACTCTTGTGGGAGGCAGAGAGCCCAAGACAGTTCAGCCGTATGAGTATATTAACTTTGCCCAACGGAGAAGTGTGGTCCAGAGGACGTCGTATCACCCCTATCTCGCCAAATACATCCCTCTCCATGGGAAGAGAGGGGTAAAGAATGGAAAGATAGGCCAAAGCTGCTCCCCCAGGATTTCCAAGACAGTTGAGGTTTTGATTTTATGGCCCTATGCAGAGAGGTGGGAAGGGGGAGAAATGATTTCCTTGACCGAACTGGAATCCAGGAGCAGCTTTGTACTAAAATGCTACTTACAAGGCTGCTTAGAAGTCAAGACTGTGCACATCTGGTCTCCATATTCTCAATGCCTGCTGGCTCATAGTAGGTGGTCAACAATCGGATGGATGGATGGATGGATGGTAGGAGCCCTGTAAGGGACCAGATAATTCTGGTCTTATTGTCACACGAGCTTTCTTCCCTGCCATCTGTTCCTTGAAAGGCCCATTTCTTACCTGTGAGCTTCCCCCAGAAAAGAGAAGGAGGAAATAAGAACTCCCTTGGTGTTGACCTGTCTAATTATGTCTTTCTTTCACGCCTGAATCTGTCGTCCCTTGCAAACCTTCTGATTTGACAGCGCCAGAATATGTGTTTGCTTTGACAGTGAAGAGACCGTGGGGGACTTTTCTGGTCCTGGGCTCTACTGGGAAAGCACATGCTAATTAATTCCATCTCCTTTGCCTCAGTCTCTTCCTCACAGGTGCACTCACACACACGCTCACCTTTAACTTCAATTTGCTTCATTTCATATTCAGGGTGTCTTCACAAGTATACAGAATGGGATGTGCGATGGGAGGGGAGGCACCATGCCAGACCAGAAATAGCTCCCTCTTAAACAGGTGCAAAGGTGCTTGAGATTCCACCGTTAGAATCCGTTCCCTTCGGAGGCTATATGTTGCAGTTTAAATCCCAGCTCCTCCAGTTTTAACTGTGTACATTCTTGAGCGAGTTATCTTTCTAAGCCTTGGCTTTTCCTCTGTGGAATGGGCTCTGCCCCGTCTTATGGGGCAAATGGAAGGATTCCCGCAGTGCCGAGCAGGTAGCAAATGCTTAATCCATGTGGCCTGTGACTGGGTTAAGCGTTGCCTTAAGTGCCAAGGGTAACGTTGGTGGGCATTCATTGACGGAGTTGCCCTCTGTCGCAGAGTGGACCGGAGGGCAGAAAGAGCAGCTGGGTCGGGAAGGATTCAGGAGGACATCAGTGAAAGAAAGAATGAGGTCCTGGCAGGACACGGGGGCTTAAGCCCCTCATGGAACCTCTCACCCGGCTGACCCCGCTTGTCCTGCTTCTCCCGCCCACTCCAGGCTGGACTGCCGCTCCTCCTGCTATGATGCCTGGGCAGATTCCGGACCCTTCCGTGACTGCGGGCTCTCTGCCAGGGCTCGGGCCCCTGACCGGACTGCCCAGCTCGGCCCTGACCGTGGAGGAGCTGAAATACGCCGACATCCGCAACATCGGGGCCATGATCGCCCCCTTGCACTTCCTGGAGGTGAAACTGGGCAAGAGGCCCCAACCCGTGAAAAGTGAGGTGAGTGAGCCTTGTTCCCCCAGGCAGACTCCAAGGTCAGGACACCTGGGTAGAGCCCAGGTCCAGCCCTACCCACACCGCGTGACCCAAGCGTTACTCTTCTACACGGGGTCTGAGGACCAGTTGCATCCATGTCACCCCTCAGCTTGTGAGAGATGCATAATCTCGGGCCCCACCCCAGACCTGCTGAATCAGCATCTGCATTTTAACAAGCTCCCCCAAGAATCCATGGACGTGTTAAAGTTTGAGAAGCCCTGGGCTACGGCAGGATGCTGCACCTGTCTCCGGTTCTTCAAGGGGCACGGGGAGAGTGATTAATAATAACAATAATGAATAATTATATATTGGCAATCTCTCTGGGTTGTTGGGAGGATCAGGGGAGATCATGGAAATGTGCACATGCTTTGAAAAGTATACAAGGGCATGCCAATATTGGGTCATCTTGAAAGATTATTGTCATTTGTCACATCATTGCCTCTACCCCCTCCTTCCCAAGCAGCTGCCAGAGCTGGGCATGGCTGTCACCCAGCCTCGTCTGCCTTAGATGATGCTTGCAGAGGACCCACAGGGGAGCACTCCTTCCTCAGGTCCCTGCAGCTGTAGCTTTCATGAGTCTTACTTGCAGAAGCTTTTCCCTGGGGACTGGTGAGAAACAGAAGTGCCTAGCGTGGGTGAGCATCAGTGCTGTGCATGTCTCTGGCCACTTCCCCAGGGCTGGCCATTTGTCCCAAGGCCTGCCCCAGTGAGGTCCCAACAGGGCCATTTTTTCAGAGGCCTGACAGAAGAGCTGCCCATCTGGTGGGAGGTGGAGAGGTGGCTGGGGGGCGGGGGCGGGGGCAGGACATGAGAAGCGGCTGAGCATCAGGTGCTCAGCAGCTCTGGTGAGAGGGAGCATTCACAGGCAAAGATGTGCCAGGACAGGGGCTCATCCTTGAGGCCGGAGCTCGGAGGGCTGCACTTTCCGGAGAGAGGGACTCTTGAATGGGGAGAGGTGCCTGGGTACTGGCAGGGGAGAGTTGGGTGTATATGCAGCTCCTGTTCTTCCCTCCCTCTCCCCACGAGAACCATAAAAACTGCAAAGAAGCGCTGGGGGGCTTGGCCAGGGGTGGCAAACTGGCCGTTTGCGGGCTGGATCTGGCTCTCATGTGTGTTTTGTTTGGCGTGCACAGTGTTTTAAAAGAAACTTGAACCAACATTTCACTTGAACATTTGGATTGTAATCTTTGATTAAAAAATTGGAAGATCTGGTCACACCGTGCCCTGCTCTGGCATGGCCACAGCTGCATGGAATGGAGAGACCCCGTCACTCTTTCCTGTCTCCAGTTTGCCGTAGGCCCTGCACGCCCTATTGTTCTTGATTTTGCTTACACTGTTAGGTTTGCTTTTGTTACTCCTAGCTGCCTTCCTTTACCTTAACCGCGTGGCCCCTATGGTAGACATTGGCTCTCGAGACACCTAGATTAGGTGCGTGGTAGATGCCCACTAAAGGCATCTTGATTGCAAGGCTAGAGTGAGCGGTAATTATATTCTCTGAATTGATTTTGTAAATCTGTTAATAGCAATTCCTGGCTTATGTAGTGTCCTGTTTTCTTCATGGAGGGTCCTTGTCTTTGATCCTTTGCTATTCACCTTCTCAGGCCCGTAACTTAGAAGCATCCGTTTCTGGGTTGTTCCACAGTATAACTGCCATTTAAAAGCAATAGCTGAGCAGCTTCACTGGGGCGCTGAGGCTGTGGGATTGACGCAGAGTGGAGTGCTTTGGTCAGGGGCTGGCCCAGCGGAGGTTTGCCTGGGTGGCTGAGTTGCCACCTCTTCCCTCCGCACAAGGCGCTGGAGGAGCTTTCTTTTTCTTTTGGAAGACGCCTTTATTTGAGTGGGATATTTTTACATTTCACAGCCTCCCCCAAATTGGTGGCATATGCCCGGTACCTGACAGTGACGTTCTGTCTTCACAGGCACCCACAAACACACACCAGCCAGGCCGTGAAAATAACAAGCCGTTTTTAGGGCACATTTGCATGTCCTCTCCCTCGCTGTCAGACTGCAGCGTTGTGGGGGCGAGCAGGCAGATGGAGCAGCATAGATTGCGCTGGCGTAGGGTAAGGTCAGCCCTACACGAGGAACTGACCTCCAAATGTTTCCTAGGTCGGATTCAAGGTGGGAGACAGGGGGCTTATTCTTAGAGCAACTAAAAATAAAGGAGGTGAAGGGAAACTTGCAGCTGGAGAACCTTATGTCCCGAAGACTTATTTGCATATGGCAAACTGCCTTTGGTGGATTTTCACATCAGCATTTTAGACCAGCAAAAGTTTCTTGAATAACAATAAGAGTATATAAGATACTCTTGTTGTTATTCAAGAAAAATAAATGCTCACGGTTTTTAAGCATTTCAACATGTACCAGGCCCTGTGCTAATTGCTTAACCGTATGATCTTGTTTATTCCTTACCTGATCCTGGTGACCAGGTTCTCCCCATTGTAGAGAAGAGGAATTTGAGGTCCAGGGAGGAGGAAGTTAAGTCGTTCAGGCTCATGCCACTGGAAAGTGGCGGAGGTGGGGCCGGCATGGATGACGATGCTGCTGCTGTAATAGTGGTGTCTCCGTTGCGCTGAGCCACGCATTAGGCACGGTGCTGGGCGCTCTGTGTGAAGTATCTCATTGAACTCATACAAGAACGCTTTGATGTAATTATTGTTATGGATGAGGTCAACAAGGCTTGGAGAAGTCCAAGGTCACAAAGCTAGGGAACAGCCCAGGCAGTCTGACTGTAGAGCTGAAACTTTAACCTTATGCTCTGAGCCTCCTCTGCTCTCTCCGTCCCTTCCAGGCTTCTAATCAGCACTCTGTCGGGCCGGGGAGGCCAGATGAACCTGGCCCCAGAACACTCGATCATTTTGATGACCTGGCCCCATTAGCACTGAGCCCTGCAGTTCAGAGAGTGGGCCCAGCCGCTGTGCAGGCAGCCCTGTCCGAGCTGGCTCTTGGGCTGTCCACATCGCAGAGGCCGGCGGTCTGCTGGGCCATGTCCAAACGCACAAAGCAGTTGGGTAAAAGAAAATTGGAGGAATTAAGTTAAATGACAGGTTTTATAGATGATAAAGTGCTTTGTGCTGATGTTGTTAGTATTATATGGTTGACACATAATGTTACACTGTTTTGGTGCCAACTGCTCGCCTGCAGTCCATTTGTCCAACAGGAATTTGCTAAGCACCTGCTGTGTGCCAGGCTTGGTGCCAGACGTGGGGAATTGACCCATGAACAAAGTAGACAAAGCCCCCTTCTCTTGGAGCTATATGTTGTGGTGGGGGCATCCAGAAATAAAAATAAGCAAATTACTCTACAATATAAAAGGTCGGGTAGTGGTCAGTATTGTGAGGAAAAATGGAGCAGACTGCTCGTGTTGATGGCTGGCTAGGGAGTCTGGGCACGTTATATTCTGGCGTATGGGGTTTTTAGAGCCAATGCTGCTTTCTTGCTTCTTTGTTCTTCTCTCCTTTCTAATATTTCTTTTCAGGACAGCTTTGCTCTCTGGCTGTCGCCAGGGCTTTTCTTCCTTTGCTTTTTGTTCTGCAGCCTCTTAAACTGGACTCCTCCACCAACCAGTCACTGGCCTGAAGATCTTGGCCCTTCCTGGGTCATCTCCGAGTGGGCTGCTGTGGCTGCAGTGGCCACACCCTGCCTCTGGGCCGGAATGCATTTCCAGTAGGGAGGGGAGGGAGGCCTGAGCCCCTCCCTTGCACACACACACACACACACACACACACACATGCATGCCCCCCTCCCCCAAGCACTCACTTATCAACCTGTTGGATGGGACCCCTCACCCTCTGTGCCACTCTGCAGGGCTCTAGAGGGGACCCAAGAATGTAGGGAGCTTGGCCTGGACCTTTTAGGAAAGAGGTTGCAACCGTCATTCCATGGGCTGGAGTCAGCCTCCAGATGAATCTTGTTTGGCCCTCACAGTGTGGTTTTCTTTTTTTTTTTTTTTAATTGAATGAGTTGCTATATTTAAAAGCCAGGAAATGTGGACTTTCTGGCTTCTTTGAAAAAACCAGAATATCTGGCCATTCTGGGCCCACACCCTTATATGCGACGGGCCGCTGGAGCTGAGGAGCAGATGCTCGCTGTAGGAGCCTGCAGTCTTTAGTTCACCAGTCTCAGCTACTCCTGTTGCCTTACACCCAGCCGGCGGCACGCTCTGTGTGTCACCAGCCTGCTTTTGAGTTTGTGTCCTGCGTTTAGGTCCCAAGGACAGGACTACATCTTACATTTCTTTTTACTTCCACTAGCCGGTGTTCAGCGCCTTGCATAGACTGGATGTTTAACACATGCTGGTTGGTTTGAACATTAATTAGCTGCGGCACCTTGGCAAGTCACTTAAACTTTCTGTCCTTTCATTTCTGTATCTCCTAATTCTTGCCTCCAAGCATTGTCCTTTTGTGTTTCTATTTCTGAACTTAAGCGACTTCAGGCAGAAAAAAAGAGGACATAATGAAAATCAAACCAACCATTCCCAAACTTGGCTGATCATCAAAACTGCTTGGAAAAGTTCTTATAAATACAGATTTCCAGACCCAACCTCAGGCCCACGGAATCAGAATCTCTGAGGGCCAAGCCCAGGGAATCTGTCTGTTTAGTAGGCTTGGAGGTGACTCAGCTGCGCTTGGGAGCCTGACTCGCATTGTTTGTACCTCTCCTCAGGCTCTTGTGATCCTTGTCAGGGAGTGTTCCGAGGGCTTCACCCTCTGGAATCAGTGTGTGCATTCCATCGTGGACTGCCTTTCCAGCACATATTGCACATGGGCCTGGATCCGTGTCCTCATCATCTTCAGAGCAGGAGAGGAGACTTAGCTGTTTGTGGATCTCACCTTGGTTGTTTCCCAACCTCTCCAGGGACGCTGCAGGATGTGTAGAGGGTTTTCATCTTTGGATGAAGTGTGTGATTTTGAATCCGTGGACTGCAGGGTGGCCTTGAAAGATATGCTCACTCTCAGCCACAG